AAACTTCGTGTTTACAAGTGCTTCAAACATTTCATAACATAAACGTGCATAAACGATTCACAAAAGTCCAATCAAAAAGTTTGTAGCTTCTAACATGCAAAGAAATTTGCTGTGCAAAAAAAGAAAAGGAAATCTTACTTGCTCATCGAAAGATTTTTGCAGGATGTATATGTAGCCACAGTCGAGGCATATGTGAGTAGCACGTGCCTGTAAAACGTTGAAAAACCCCCCTTAAGCATATATATACTAGTGAAGATTATACAAAGTATACTCAGCTTGAAAATAAGTTTTCTTCACCTTTTGAGCATCGGTTAGTTTTCTGCCAAAAGCAGGTGGGGCCGGGCGCTTTGGTAGCCTTTTGACATCCACTTCAGCTCCTCTGAAAGATTAGATGATCGGCAAATCATTAATATCATTAGCAAAAACAAAAATATATATATATAATTAAATTCATTGCTTTGTAGAAAACCTTTAGATACTATAGACAAAGTGGAACGTAATTTTACCGACAAGGATAACCAAAAGAGTTGTTCTAAGTTCTAACCCATAAAGAGAAAACAAAAAGGAATGGGAAATACAAAGCCAGCAAAACAAATGCTAGCACGATTCATATCAGAAAAAATAAAATTAAATAAAATGATTCGAACTGTAAGTTGGACCTGCTGACGACAAAGTATACAGAATCCGGTTTCGCCTGAATAGCTGTTTTTGTGAAGCCAAGCTTGTCGGCTGGCCATAACTCATCCCCAAAGAAGCTGCTTGTGTACAAAACTTGGTCCCCCGACTTAAGCCCTGCCCTTGCAGCATTACCACCACTTTCTACAGCCTAAATCACAATCAAATGCTAGCTTATTCAATTTTTATAACTATAAATACAGAAAAATCTTGGAGTCCATCTATTCTTGTCCAAATATCAACAACCAACTTATATTCTAAACCAATAAAAATAAAAGAAAATCTATTAAACACACACAATTTTGATACTTATACACCATATAGTTCACTTTTAGCATCTACTTCCAAACAAGACATTCTTGATTCAGTAGGACTATTACTAGGCAGGCCTAATGATTAGATGGTCGGTTGAACTTGTTCAACATATATGTATACTTTCGAGCTGAAATGTCATTTCATAACATTGATACATTGATACATTGATATGCATTTCATAACAAAGAGACCATTTTCTCTCCAAACTGTGAATGATCCTTCTGTCCAAAAGTCCACATTTTTTGTTCAAAAACATGAATATTGGATTGAAATCGACCTGACTGATCGATACCATTTGGGTTCGGGTTTGTGTTTGTGTTATCCAAAGACACTCCACATACTGAAATAAGAAATTAATTACTTACTGTGATTACTACACCACCACCTTGCTTTTGGCCCAAAGTCAAGCCCAATGGCTTGTCAACCTCAACCTCAATATTCTTAGCAGCTCCAGCTGCCCTTGCTGTGATCTCAAGGCCCCTTTTTCTGCTAACCACGCCCCCAAAACTGCTGCGGACACTCCCAGCAGCTAATGAATTGAAGACAGCCCTTTTGGCGTCTTCAATGGACAGCCCATGAAAACTGGTTTTCTGTTATGACAATAAAAAAAAATAAAAATCAATAATTCAAACAAGAAAAGGACAATGGTTCAACTTCAAAGAACCCTTTTTTATTCTTTTATAATTGGCACAACCCCACAAACAAGAAAATAGAAAAATTAAGCAGAAGGTGAAAGAAAGTATGAACCTTGAACTGAGGAGTGAGAGAGTAAGTTGAATGGGTTTTGGGAGAGTTGTTTCTGGTGAAAGCCGATGTACAGGAAGAGGATGCACCAGCAGCCATGGCTGATGACATTGTGCACGCGCGCGCGTGAGTGTGTGTGTGTGTCTGTGTGTTGCGCTAAGAGATTTTACTTTTGCTGGTTGCAAGTGTTTTCCTAATGGCTTCATTTCGTTCTCTGCGGATAGCTATGAGAGCCACACGCCCTTTTGAGTCGAAGAACTGAGACTGGTGGACATAAAAGGCGACAGCACAACATGTTTCTATTGTCCATAACATTTGATTATCTACATTGGAAATTACATATAACAAAATGAAAATCATTACCTTTTTGGCTTTTTCTTTTCTTTTGTGTTAAATGTTGAGTCGATTCGTGATTAAAACGAGCCTGAAATCAATCTCAAGATAACGAGTCGAGTTCGAACTTTAATGGACCGATTTCAAAGTTTAGCGAGCTCAACTATAAAAATCTTTTTATGAGCCTTAACTAGCCGAGCCGACTCGTTATTCAAACGAGCTTTATATGAACTCGAACTCGGCTCGTTTAATTTAACAAATTTAACAGCATTATGTGTGTGTAATGAGTCGAGTCAAGCTTGAGTTCTTGATAATCGAGCTCGAGGCGAAACAAGCTTGGTTCATTAACTAAGCGAGCTCGAAGATTGCATGTTTATCAATATTAACAAGCTAAGTTGTAGAAAGTTACATAGAACAAATTTATTTTCAAACACTAACGAGTATTAAGTTAGTTAGAGCTCCTCTCGTTTATCAATTTTAGTGCGTCAGACTTATGAAAAACTATGTAAAATTTTATATTTTCAAACTTTAATGAGCAGGGTCCAGTCGACGAGTTTATGGCAGCTCATTTAATCTGTGGTTAAATCATCATTTAATGAAAATTGAAAGAAAAATAAATAAATGATAATTAAAAATACACCTAATTTTGGGCTTCAAAGTGCGTTAAAGAGTTCACAAAGCAGTCAATCCAAGAGCATAAGTCCAGTGGTCACCCTCAGTAAACATAAGCAATGGGCTACTGTCTCCGCTCATTGAAGCAATGAAAGCCCATAAAATGAGCCCGTCATCAGTCCAATAACGGTTTCAAGCTTCAAAATCAATTCAACAGTGAACTTTATTGAACTACTAATCATATCAATTAATAAACCATCATAATATATTCAAACATTAATAAGTGGCCTACGTTTGTGTTATATAATATTTTAAAATCATTTAATTTATAAAATTTACCATGGCATATTAATAATTAATAATATTAATAACAACAAGAAGTCCACACTAAGAACATCAATACTGCAAAAACTACCCTCCTCATATTATGTGATTTAGGCAATTATTTAATTAATTTACTTGTACATCATTAATTTTAATTTAAAAAAATTGAAGTTTCAAGAGTCAAGACAGTCATTAATGCGAGCATGGGTATTTTTAACGTGGATAACGTGACAAGGTCCACATAATGTAAACTAAAACACATTGAAATGCATTTTATGACTTGAGTTTTTATTCTGTTTCGAACTTTTTTATATATTTATTTGAAATGCTACAATTCTATTACGGAACCATTCATAGAGATTTGTAACCGTTAGATCATCATGCAATCGTCGTGGATAATTGATCTAACGGTTACCAATACTGATGAAATAATTTCGTAACGGGACTGTAGAATCTCCCATATTTATATTTAATTTGGCACGATTTTGTGTAAAATTGCACGAAAAATTAACTTGTAAAAAAATATAGATTGAAAATTCTCCACTAGCTTAAAAATATCTCCACTCCGTTAACTTTAACGGTGCCAGTCAAAACTCTGAAAGAATTTTAGACGGCAAAAATTCCGTAGTACGTTGGTGGCAGGTGGGTGGGGGACCACCTTGTAAAGCGTTAAATGGTGGAGAAGCTTTGTTTGGGTTTTTGAAGACTTTTTTTTAAAGGACACTGTAAACAGTACACTCACACTCTTGTTAACGCCCTCCATCTATTTTCTACCCACTATAAAAAGGGCCCCCACACCATATATTCCCTTGCGTGCAATCTGCATTTCCTTCTCAAAACTTCCATTTTTCTCTCTCTCTAAACTGAGTGTGCGTTTTTTGTATGGCAGCTAATTTGAAGAGCCGTGGATTGGCGAGCTTGGGGAAACGATTTGTCGGCCAGATCCATTCTCGTGATCCAGTTTCTGCTGCTCCTTACACTCTCAGGTGCGTGTACTCTGTGTGCTTTTTGCAGATACTGTGTGTGTGTGTGTGTTGAGCTATTGACTAGCATTTACTTTTGCAATTTGCATCAGATGATCGCAGTTTCCTGTTTACACGGGTCACTAGAAGAAGAAAGAGGCTAATATGTGGATATATTTGAAATTTGTAGACTGATTTTGTTGTAATTTCAAATGTTCTATGTGTGCTTTTTGCAGTGTGTGTTTTGTAGTATACTGTGTGTTTGGTTTGTTGAGCTACTAATTAACAGTTAACTTTGCAATAGTTGCATCATATGATCGTAGTTCACAAGCTTCACTAGAAGAAAGAGGCTAATATGTGAGTATATTTGAATTATGCAGAGTACTTTGTTGATTTTCAGTAACATCGTCATTGGTTCTGTTTTGTTTTGTTTTGTTTTTTTTTTTTTATGAGATAATTTTGGGCCATTTTGATTTGTATTGAGATCGGTTATAGTGCTCAGCTGTTACCTTTGTTTCTATGATTTTTGTTTGAGATTGATCGATTTTGATTATAAAAACGTAAGCCCAAAAGATTGTTTGAGTTCATAGAATTTTATTGTGGCCAGTTGGTTTCAGAGTAATCGGGGAAATATTATCATTTATAGTAATGTAGTAATTCTGGGAATGTGCATTTCATTTCTGGAAGCTTATGAATGATCATGGAAAGTCAAATGCTCCCCATGAAAAAGTTGTGTGTTAAAAGGTTCTGTTGATTTAAAGCCACAAAATATTATTCTCATTATAGTGTGGATGACTGGATTTTATGATAGAAGTTCATTTATCATTTTATCTATTTAATGAAAAGCCAAAATTCTATAAGCTACGTAGTCCAACTCCCATGTGTCCATTTTGTGTGGGGGAATATAGAAGAAAAACTTGGGTACTTAAAGAAATATTGAATAATTTTGGCACAATCATCCAAGTTGATATTTGTAGTGACATGCAACTGTATAAAAGTAGGGCAGTTTGGATAAGAACTGAAAACTTTCAATATTATTAATTATTGTTAACCACCAGCATAGGGAAGCATTTCAATTTCCATGCAACTTTTCAAGATTATTTTAGTTTTTGCTTGATCAGTTAAAGTTGAGATGGAAGATCCAAGTGGTTTGATTTTGATCATATAAAATTGCAGGACACTTTTGTTGACTAGTAACACTAATGATCAAACATATATAAGTTGTGGTAAAGGAGGTCATAAGGTAATAAAAAATAATTAACTCATGAAAAGTGTCATTTAGACATGGATTGAGTACTCTCATCAGCCATCTTGAATAATAGGTTTTGACTGTTTTGAGCCATTTATATATCAGTCAACAATTATGAGATCCCAAGGGATACTTTATCATTATTATAATCATTTTCATTTTTGTGGCATTTTCTTGATCGATATTTTGGTGTTAGTCTGAAGAAAAGCACGTGCTATGTGTAGAACTCGAAAGTAGTTTATTCAAATATTTTCATTTGCTATTTGTCCAAATATGTAGGATCATTCACAACTCCACTTACGACAAGAACTTGGACGAAAATACCCACTCGGCTGTGGTCCCCGACCACGTGATGCCACCACAGGTCGAGGAATACTGGGCCCCACACCCCAAAACCGGCGTGTTTGGGCCTTCATCAGACGAGAAGCAAAGTTTGGGCCTGGACTCGGGTGCGTACCCCAGTGCAGAGTCGGTGTTGGAACAAAAAGCTTTTTTCCGCCCACTTGAGGATTTGGAGAAGCCACAGGTTCAACCTTAAACGAATCGTAACTCTAATAATCATTCACATCTTTCCCTATTGCAATAAATAAGTTGGAGCTTACTCAAAGGTTGTGTATTCTTGATGCAGTGTGTCTTTAGTTATGAAGACTTGTATGAAAACCGATGTAGAATAACTGAATAAGCAATGGCTGGGTGTTTGTCATGTACATGGTATGAGTACCTATTTTGTATGTTTGGGAAAGGTGTTTTCGTAATGCTATGTTGTGGTGTGCTTAGGTTGAAAGTGGATTTTTGTGCTTTCAAGATATATTGGTCCTTTAAACAAGTGAGTACCTTCTCATAGTGATAATAACATTCATCTTATTACAATTGTTAGCCGATCGGCTGGTCGGATTGGTTGGATCAAGAATCGATTTGTTGATTTGCTCGGTTCACTGGAATGAAGCAGTTGTCAACGAACCGTTCAAATCGGCCGCAAATTGTATGGTCGCACCAGTTGCTCCATCTCATTTAATATATATATAAAGTTTGAAAATAATTATAATATAAATTCAACTACATATTTAAAAATAATGAATATATGGAAGTTAGTTTTCAATTTTAATTCATAGTACTTTCATATACAAAATTTATTAGATAAAATATATAATATATTTAAAAATATTATTAAGTTGAATATCAATCCAACTGTTTTCAATTAGTCCAACCAGTGACAAGAGAAAGTGACATCAGGACTAATGATATTTTTGGTTGAAATTGGAATATCATTTTTACTTAGGGTGTGTTTGGTTCAATGGAGGGGAAGGGAGGGGAGGGATTTTAATGAAGGGGAAGGGAGGGGAGGGGAGGTGATGTAAAATAATTTTACCTTGTTTGGAGGGATTATTCAGGAGGGGAAGGGAGGGAAAATAGTAAACCTTGTTTGGTTCAAAAGTTAAAGGAAGGGAAAATAAAATTAAAATGACAAACTTACCCTTAATGAAATAAGATAAAAAATAAAAAACAATTGAAAGTAGGGACTAAATGGTATTTTCACACCATCTTAACACATTTTCCTTCCAAATCCCTCCAATTTTGGAGGGGAGGTAAAGTGAGGGAGGGGAGGGAAATTTACTTAAAATTTCCCTCCCCCTCCCCTCCTAATTTTTCAACCAAACAAGAGAAAACTAAAATTTTCCATCCCCTCCCCTTCCCTCCCCTCCAAATCCCTCGAACCAAACACTACCTTAAAGAAAACGAATCCGAATCAATCTTATCTCTTGAAGCAATGAGAGGTTGAAATTCAATATAAATTTTACGTCATCTATCTTTTCTTTCAACTTTTGTTTCAAGGCGAGGAATGAAAGGACCTCGCGGCAACTTTTCACATCGAATAACATCTTATGCGTCCCACTTTTATGTTGGGCTTATTTGATTTTGAAAACTCCAATTTAAACTAAAATAAAATGGGACGAATGTATTGTGAATGTATTGTGTTGTTAACCTTTCATTGAAACGGAATTTATTTGGTACGAGAATTGACTGAGTGGGATGAAATCATAAAACTGAGATATTTTTTTTATTAAATTGTAATATTTTTTAAAATAAATTAAGATTTTTTTATATGGTATTATTATCGTTTAAAAGCATTTGATATTATTCAAAATGATATAGTATTAATTTTTTTTATATGCAAAGTTTATTCAAACAAAAACTTGTCTACGAGAGCACACAACTCACGCGTCAGGGGACGCGCCCCTCTTCTTCTCCCCTCAATCAAAAAAAAAACCAGTCGTCTTCTCCAATTTTCGCCGCCCCTCCTACACTTACAAGCTCGCCACCGCACCGCTGGAATAGAAGCTCGTTGTTTCGGGGCTGAGGACATTTCCGTCCCCTCCGGGCTTTGTGGGAGATTGGGTTGGACAGCTCTCGCCCCCGCTGGGTCCGAGTTGCTTCTCCACCTAGCCATCCCCGGCCATGGACGAGACCGCTGGCAGCAAGATTTCAGGCCCAAGCCTCGAGGAGGTTCCGACCATTGTTTCGCCGAGAGTTTTGTTATTCATGTTTTGGGTCCTTTGGTGCGGCGTGCCGACCGTTCGATCCCTCTTTCGAGCACTCCGGCGAGGACGAGTTGGTGTTCTCACGGCGGCTTCTTCTCCTCTCCAAGCGTGGATGGTTTTTCGGAGTCCAGATCTGAACCGATAGCAGTCTCTTCTTCAGATCCGTCTAGGCGGCACGAGTAGCCGCAGTTTTCGGGCTTGAGGTTCCGATTTGTGGTTTTGTTGGATCTCTTTGCTTGTGGATGTGGATCGTGTGCGGTCCCTGGTGGTTAAGCATCGAGTTGATTAGTGTAGGGGAGGTTCTAGTTTATTTGTACATTAGGTGTGTGTTTTTTGTTTATGTTTTTGTGTGTTAGTCCAGTTTGTCTGGTTTATCTCCTTTATGGAGTTTAGTTTCCCTTTGTGGAATTTCGTTTTGGGTTGCGGTTGCCTCCTTGTTGGAGTTGTACCTCTTGAATTCCTCCGGATGTTCAAGAGGGTAAGTCCAGTTATCTGGTTCTTTGGTGTCAGTTGACATCGCCTATGTACTCTTTTTGAGTTTTCTAGCAATATATTTGTTTGCCGTTTGAAAAAAAAAAAAAA